AAGGCGGCAGCTGTTCCTTATGGAAGAGAGAAAGATACCCATGAATCAAGTCATGCTTAATGGTTGTGCGGAGGGTTGGTGTGGCTTCAAAAATTGACATGTCCCACTTCGGCAGTGAGTGCAAAGGATAAAGGCTTGAGGTTTTTTAGGGTAGGGCTCTCCTTCAGATTTTAGTGAATGTAGCCTAGATATATTCTTTTCTTTAAAAAAAAAAACAAGTTTTATTGGTTTTTAAAGACAAACAAAAACAAACAAAACATAAAAACATCCAACTTTCTTTCATAAGTGTACAAGCAGTGTGTCAGTTGGTTTACCATGAGGAGAATGTCCATGAGGCTGGAGTTTCAAAACGTCTTTGCCTTCTGCAAAGAACGTTTGTTTCACAGCTGGCTTTTCTTGAAGGAGGGGCCATTACCTTGCAGCCTTACTCCCAAGTCTCCCATGCTGTTGTAGCTGCTCTTTCCCGCGAGCAACCCTGCATGCATGCGCACTTGGCACAGGCTCCTCAGGAATCTCCTCATCGCTTCTGCCAGCCCCCACAATCTCTAAAGGCAGCAGTCCACTCCCTAATGGTCCTGGCCCCTCATCTGAGTCCTCGCTCTCCTCAGTCGTCCGCACCTGCTGCCGGCTAACCACAACACATACTGCTTCTTCAGATTTCTCTTTCCCTCACCCCCTTGTGTATGGCAACTCGAAAACAGGCATAGGGATGCTTTACGAGTTGATAGTGGGATTGGTTGGGCTGCCAAAAATAATGCCCAGTTTTTTTTCTCTGTGGAGTCTCGGAGGTGTAGAGGTCCTTTCTGAATGCCTGGCACTCTACCTCTTGAACAGATTTCTGTAATGGGTAGCTGTCATTCATGGCCTGGGATGTTCCTCACCCAACCTTGGCACATGTGGGTCAAAACCATCAAGACAGAACAAGATATGGACATGTATGTTTGGCCTCCTCATTAGGTGCCGCTTTCTTTTTGAGGGACAACAGAACAACATTGAAGGAGATGATTGGTTCAGTTATCTTCCTGGCTTGGAAGCATGAAGGAGACACATTATTAACCCTACTTTGTGATTGTAGGAGGTTGTCTTGAGGTCTCAAATATGCAATGACTCTCAGAGGTTGGTCAACCTTGGCCTTTTTCACAGTAGATGGGCAGGATGAGAGAGGAACCATAAAGCACTGATAGAATTTTCCTATGAATTCCAGGGCTTCATTGTTTAAAAAATCCTTTTAAAACTGCTTTTTCAAGAAATAACTTTTTAGTCCAAGGCAAAAAAACCACCATCATTCTCTTCTTTGTAAATGTACTGATGGTTTTTAAGTGTACTTTGAAAGGTTTCTTTTGTGAGCATTGCTTCTAAAGAAACAATGTACAAGTCCTTAAACGAATAAAAAGGATTTATTTATTCAAGGGGTTTATCGGTCCTATAATCAGCTAATGTCCCTTTTCATTCGATGGGGTCTTGTGTATCGTTTTTCTTTTCTTTAAAAAAAAAATACAATAAATCAATCGAATTCTTTTCATTTCCTTTTGGGACCGAAATATTTTAAACTTTTTCCCTGCATCCCTATCAGATGTTTCCATATCTTGGTCTCTCTTTCTCTTTCTCATTTTGGCTCTTTCTAGAAGCCGTTTTTTGCCATTTTTTTTCATTCCTTTTTTTGAAAGGACCCATGTTGATGAATTGCATTTAATTTTAGCAGACTTTTTTTTGCGATAGTGAAATAATTCATTTCCATTTCATTCTAAGTTTGGGGGAAAGACTCGCCGGAGGGGGAGGGGGTTGTGTGATAAGTCGTTCCATTTTTTAAAATTATTATTATTATTATTATCCGCACTTTGGGGAGGGAGAAAATCTTTTCGGCATTTTTGAATAAAAACTTTGGGGAGGGGACGAAGGCCGCCGGAATGATTAGAATGTGTGTGAAGGCGAGGGAATGAACAAACAGATGGCAAAGGCACGGCGTAACGTAGAAAAGGACAATATAAGGGAAAGAATCAAGTAAAGAGCAGATGAGCCATTCATAATCCAGAATATCATACATGATTTATGAGAGAGACAGTCTGGGCTCGGAAACTAGACATGGTCAAACTTACCAAGGAGAGAAGCAACTTCGAAGTAAGGAGGAATTTCCTGACTGAGAACAATTAATAAATGTAGTCTCTTCCCCAAACCCCAAAAACTTTAACCTTAGACTGTCTACTATTGACTTCACCCCTTTCCTAAGAGGTCTGTAGGGGGCGTGCATAAGCGCACCAACGTGCCTACCGTCCCTGTCCTATTGTTTCTCTTATTCTTCTTTTATTTTTCTTATATGTATCCATTTCATGTATTCACAACTATGTATACACTTATACTTATTATCTTGTAAACAATTGGCAAATCAAATAAATAAATAAAAATAAATAAATAAATGGAACAGCTTGTCTTCGGGAGTTGTGCTCCATCATTGGTGGCTTTTAAAAAGAGATTGGACAGCCACTTGTCTGAAATGGTATAGGGTCTCCTGTTTGAGCAGCGGATGGACTAGAAGACCTTCAAGGCCCCTTCCATCTTGGTTCTAGTCTATTCTACCTCTGTGGTCCCTTCTAACTTCCTTCCTTCCTTCCTTCCTTCCTTCCTTCCTTCCTTCCTTCCTTCCCTTCCTTCCTTCCTTTCCTTCCTTCCTTCCTTCCTTCCTTCCTTCCTAAATTTTATTTATTTATTTATTTTATTTATTTGATTTGCCAATTGTTTACAAGATAATAAGCATAAGTGTATACATAGTTGTGAATACATTTGCTTAACCAATGTCTCACTTCACCACAGAAGATCCAGGCTCAAATATTGTGGCTGTAAGGAGAGGCGGGGCTTCCAAAATTTTACCAAGGGGTTCTCTGCCCGGTTGCTGAGTGGGCGTGGCCATGGTGGGCGTGGCCTAGTCGGCCTCCTGCACTACAGCGGGGTGTGTGCGTTTTTGCCCTCCCTGGTCTCCGGAGGCTTTCTTCGAGCCTCCAGGTGGGGGGAAATGCCCCCCCCCACGGGCTCCAGAGCCTCTCTGGAAGCTGGAAATGGGTCCATTTTTGGCCTTCCCAAACTCCCAGGAGGCCTGTTTTTCACCCTCCCTGAGCCTCCATGCATGTCCTGCACTTACCTGCATCCAAAATGGGCCACGTGGGGACTCCTGGGAGGAGGGGAAGGGCATGGTGGGCAAGGCCAGCCAGGAGTGGGATTTTGGGGGGTTCTCCGAACTACACAGAATCTTAGCTAGGGGGCTCCCTCGAACCCCTGAGTACCCCCAGCAGCCCACCCCTAGGAGTAAGTCAAGGACTACCTGTGAAAGGTCTCTTGGCTTTTATGGACAGCTCTTAACGTGCCTTATCAGCTTGGCAAGCTCAGAGTTAACTGACTGCAGGAGAGAGAGAGAAAAGAGAGAGAGAGAGAGAGAAAAAGAGAAGAGAGAAGAGAGAGAGAGAGAAGAGAGAGAAAGAGAAAAGAGAGAAAAAGAAAGAGAGAGAGAAAAGAGAGAGAGAAAGAGAGAAGAGAGAGGGAGAGGAGAGAGAGAAAAGAAAAAGAGAGAAAAGAGAGAGAGAGAGAGAGAGAAAGAAGGGAGAAAAGAGAGAGAAAAAGAGAGAGAGAGAGAAAAGAGAGAGGGGGGGGGAGAGAAGGAGAGCCATAAATACATTTTTATCGGGAGGGGTCATTAGGCAGCCCAAGCTAAGCAGCCTTCCAAGGAGATTAGCCTCCTCTGCATACAATTAACCCTTTCAGGAGAGCACATGCCTTTGATGTGTCTGTAGCCTATTTTGCCCAGGAAGGAATTTTTGCTTCATCTGGAGCTTTTTTTTAAAAAACGGTTGGAGATTGGCCATTTTTTCCTCTTTCATTTAAATAGAC